GACACCATCCACTTGTGGTATTTCTGTTGTAGCAGCACTAGGTGACTAAGACATCATCCACTTGTGGTCTTTCTGTTGTAGCAGCACTAGGTGACCAAGACACCATCCACTTGTGGTATTTCTGTTGTGGCCGCACTAGATGACTAAGACCCTAGGTATAGTGTTGCTGACTACCTACTGAAAGGGTAAAAAGAGTATCAGAAAGTAGCAACTGCCAGAAGCAACCACAGCCCTAGGGCTTGGAAAGCAAAAGGAACAAAGAACAACTTAGGAGCTTGTAAGAAGGGCTCTGCAGAGCTCAGCTGGTGCTGGTGTCTTTGAGGGGGCACGACGAGGGTGAGTGCTAAAAAATCTGCAAACTGCTGCTGCCGGTGGGAGCTGCCACTGCCGCGGTGATGTTGCCAGATGATGCTCAAGGGCAGGAGCAGACAGGAAGGGGCAAGTCCCACCTCCACCAGCCCTGCGGTCTCCCTCTAGTGGCACCTGTAGACACAACCTAACAGCGAACCCAGGAAAACTAAAACCCTTGCCTTCACCGTTGGATTCGGTTTGACTCATGGTGACCCCATGTGAGTCAGAGTAGAACTGTGCTCCATAGGGTTTTCAATGGCTGTGCTCTTTCAGAAGTAGATTTCCAGGCCTTTCTTCTGAGGCATCTGGGTGGATTCAAACTGCCAAACTTAAAATTAGTAGCCAAGCACTCGGCCATTCACGCCACCCAGGGCTGGGTTCAATTTCAACTCATAACGAGTCGATTTTGACTCATAGCAACCCCAGGTGACAAAGTAGAACCACCCCACAGGATTTTCTACACTGTAATTTTTTTTAATTGTACTTTAGATGAAGGTTTACATAGCAAATTAGTTTCTCATTGAACAATTAATACACATTGTTTCGTGACGTTGGTTGCCAACCCCACGCACGACATGTCAACAGTCTCCCCTTCTCGACCTTGGGTTCCCCATTACTAGCTTTCCTGTCCCCTCCTGCCTTCTTGTCCTTTTGTTTTAAATCCCTAGCTAATCTTTGGCTGAAG